GATAGATAGATAGATAGATAGATAGATAGATAGATAGATAGATAGATAGATTTCTGAGGCTTGAAGCGAAAAATAATTTCTGCGCAAAGACTGGAAACGCTCCCAGTCAGAGGTTCAGTGATAAATAATTAGCTGCATATTGTATAAGAATAATATAATAGTTACAAAAAAACGTGTGAGCATCAGATTTGTTTGGGATGGAATTAATTGTGCTTGTTGTGACATTTTTTGGATGATTTTGTGCGTAAACGTTTGTGCGTAATTGCTCGCGCGTAAAGTTCTTCCAAAGCAAACAAGTAAACACTCTTCGTGCGCCCCTGTGTGGAGGTGTGGGTGTTGGAGGGTGGGTGCGGGGTGGGTTTAATCCCTGTGGGAGGAAAGTCGTTAAACACAAGCAGTAAAAACTAAAACCAACTGTTTGCTGTTTAGATCCCAATTATAGCCACGATGGCATCTCAGAACCGGAGCGTAAAGAAAAACAAGAAAAAGAAAAAAATCCAGCATCTGACCGATTAGTTTCTTCGTTTAACCGAATCTGATGGGACATTTTTAATTATTCAGGTTTTTAAAAAACATTTTCTGTCACATAATCAATCTGAATTCCTCTGTTTTGTACATTTTGGTTCTTCGCCACGTTCATTTGGATTTTTTTCCCATTTCTCAACCAAACCGAGACTCTTTACGCACAAACACAAACCAGAAGCCGGAAACGGTCAAACGCGCCGTTAATATTCAATTAGTAAAAGAAAGCCTTTGACCTGTGACCCTGAGGGGGGCGAAGCGTGCAGCGCGCAGTAAAGCATCCAAACTGACAGCGACCCTCGGATTGTTTCAGCACCTTCCGCCTCAGGGCCAAGGACTGCGCCTCCCCACGAAGGGCTCCAAATATAGCGCGGGGAGCAACTGCGGGAGCCGCGGACACCGAACAGCTCGAGATGCAAAGATTAAAAGTGGTCCCAGAATCCACCTGAAGCCGTGAACCAAGAAAAAAAAAACAAAAACAAAACGAACGAATGAACGAAGGAACGAACCGACGCGTTTATGAAGAAACCGAGCAGAGGTCAGAGTTCAGCCTCACATGTGACTGATGAGAAGAGAAGCTGCTTTGTTCACAAACTCCGAGACAGAAAAACACCGGAGAGAGAAAAACAACAAGTTCCTGCTGGTCAGCTGGAGATGAGCTTCACACACACTCCAAACATCACACACACCAAAACGTCTCACTGCTGCCAGCGTTTATGATGAGAAACAGAAAAACGGAACAATTCAGAAATATTTTTATTTATTATTATTATTATTATTTATTTATTCTATGTAACAGCTGATGTAAAGAATTATTAGAATAAATGAAGCAGAAACACCGTGAATGCTCCTCAAGAGATGGAAGGCAGTGAAATGAATCTGAAAAGACGAAAAAAATAGATTTATTTATATATATATATAAATCTATTTTATATATAATAATAATAATGATGATGTAGTTAAAGAAAAGACGTGAGCCTTTAATATTATGTATAAATAAGTATTTAAACAAACAAACAGGCTCCATGTTGGTATGAAATGAAGAAAAAAATAGAAATAAAATAATAAAACAATAGTTCCAAACAGTTTCTTCTTTTTTTAAATCTATGATCAGTGTTGAGTTGGTAGAACAAGACGGAGCAGCTTCAGGTCGATGATTCTGTTTAAATTAAGAACAATTTTAACGAATAAACTCATTTTTTCTGCCTCAGTTAAACAAATCAAACACGCGCGGCCTCCAGCGCGCAGCTCTGGAGCGCAGACATCCCATAATAGGATGATTCCTTTACAGCCACAAACAGCAGAAAACAACTGGAAGCTCCGGATGAAACATTCACATTTAGAACTAAACATAAAACCTGAACCGAGCTCGAACCCTCAGAACGGGCCGAACCGCGCCAGCCTCCGTCCTGGATGAACGGAAAGCTCGAGCCGCGGCCGCCAGGTGATTCCTGCCACCGACAGGTGAGCTGGTCACAATAAAAACACACAAAGCGTCGCGTTGAGGAGCGGGAGCGCGCGAGAGGCTTCAGGTTTACGGTTTCCTCCGCGGAGCAGCGCGCGGACACTCTGAGGTCACCGCGCCAAAAAAAAAGGCCTCATTTTATGATTATTTTTATTATTTTATTTTTGGCTCCAGCAGTTGTTTCCATGTGACACGATTTTCTTTAATAAGGTACATTTATTAGGACTCTGTTAAAGTTTTTACTCGCGCGCGTAAAACGGTTCACTGGCGGCGTCGCGCGCATATTAAAAACACACGAGCTTAAACAGAAACACGGTTTGTCATCAGGCTGATTTACGGCAGGCTGCTCGGCCTCCATGTATCCATACATCCTGCATTTATGTTCTGTCAGCTGCTGGTGCCAAAAAAAGGGAAGTAAAGCGACGAGGATCCGGTCCGGTCCGGTCCGGTCCGGTCCAGGTAAACACACGGATGGAAAAAGTGGAGCCCAGTCCAGCTCCGCAATGCGCATGTGTGTGTGTGTGTGTGTGTGTGTGTGTGTGCGCGCGCAGGAATATTTTAGGAGCAGAGAAGTGCATTTTCAATTAGAGAAGAGTGATTACAGAGAGGAGGAGGAGGAAGAGGAGGAGGAGAAATAAGGAAGGACGAAGAAAAGAAGGTTAGAAGAAGAGAAAAGAGAATTAAAATAAATGAGAGGAAAACAAAGACCAGAGAAGAAAACATCACTATGGAGCTGAAAGTTTCAGGAAAATGAGCTTCCTGTTGAAGAGGCAACTGGAACAACATCAATGCTTCTGTCAGTGTTTGTCCGTGTGAAAGAATCTGTGGAAAACCACCTCTATAGGTATATCTATCTATCTATCTATAGATAGATATGTTTTATTTGTTTCTACTTTTCTCCTGACATTTGTTAGACGGTCTGAGTCGTCCCCCTTTGCTGCTCTAACAATGTTTCTCTGCTGTGGGATGAATAAAGTCTCATTGAATCATATTTAAATGTCCAAAATGAGTCCAAAGTTGTCGAAAAAAAATTACACAAATTAGACCAAAAGGACTAAAACTGATCTAGAATATTTAAAAATTAATTTAAAATAACTCAGAATGTGTCCAAATCATGCAGAACAGAATCTGTGTGAAACCACTGATATGTGTGATGATGAGGTTTCCATCAACCTGAACGTCCACATTTCTAAGAATTAGTCCTTAAACGAGTATTTAATAAATGATTCTTGTTCTGTATCATCACGTCCTAAATGGCACAGATCTTGTCAGGACCTCCAGACATCAGACCAGCAGGACTAAAACGTGTCCATGATGCTTAAAACTCGGTCTGAAACGTGTCACAGTGTCCAAACTAAAGCAAGTTAGCCTAAAAAAAAAAAAAACTAGAATATGTTCCAAAATGACTAAAACTTTCTCATAAAAGATCACGAGTGATGTTTTTATTTCTATCCAGAAGAATCTTCAGTTCGTTGCACCGTGTCTATGAGGACAGTAAAAAGCTTTCTGTTGCTCAGTCTGAAATCCAGATTAAACTAGTATTTAATGAAGGCTCACGGTGTTCTATTAAAATATCCAAATGAGTCCAAATGAGTCCAAAATGAACCAAATGTGTAGAAAAAGACACGACTCTGGTCAGAACTCACATAGATTCATTCAAAGTGACTAAAACGTTCCAAAAACGCTTCAAAATGAGCCCAAACTAAAGCAGCATGTGCACAAAAACAGTCCAAAGCGACTAAACGTGTGTCATTAAAGAATCTGTGGGAAACCACTGATGTGTGTGACGCTGTCGTTTCCATCCAGAACAATCTGGACCGCCGGAACGTCTGCATCTGGACGTTCCACACAGGCCCACATTTGGCCAAAAATGACTCAAATCTTGTCCAAAAATCACAAAAACTCACTTAAAACGACTAAAACTTGTTGAAAATGCTTTAAAATGAGTCTTTCCAAACATAAAATGAAAAATTAAAAAAATACCAAAATGACCCAAATTTCAGAAACTGGAATCAGAGGATTTAGATTTTCTCCTTCTTTAAAAAAATAAACGTCCAACTGATGAACTGATCATTAAACACCTGATGACTCATTGATCGGTTCACTGATGGATGCAGCTCAGCTCAGGATGTAAACAACAACAACAACAACAACAACAACAACACCACCGTGCCTGAGACGACTGATTTCCCTCCACCAGCTCCACCAGCTCCACCAGCTCCACCAGCTCCACCAGCTCGGTGATCCGTCGGTTTCTGCTGCAGTCAGACGTTGAGAAGCTGAAAACTCACCGAGTGACGTTCAGGCTCAAAGAGAAACAAAGACGCTGAGAGAAGGACGTGACGGAGCTGCAGCAGCAACACCAGCAACACCGAGCGGGTCACAGAACAGAACCGCAGCTCCATGAAGAGCCACGAGTGCTGACGAGGACCAAACGCCTCAGAAACATGAAGGTTTGTCTGCAGCATCAGTCTCATCCTGAAAGAACATTTAATAACAAACCTCCTGATTCACGTCGACTCTGGTCGTCGTCCAGAAGTTCGGCTGCTGATGGAGAGAATGTCGAGGAGACGCTGGATGTGGTGTTCAGAGGGTAGAACCGCCGTCTAGAGATGAACAAAGAAGCTGCAAACCTTCTGGAAAAAGCTCATTTTTAAACATTGTTTTCCAGAAACTTTAACTGTTTTCGGGGCTCACAGAGTTTGTTGTGAAGAAAATTAAAATGACAGAAAAACCAGCACATGTGGAGTTTGATGAAATCAAAGGTGAATAAACACTCAGAGAACGGACCTGTGTTACTGAACCTCCGTCAAAAAGATCCGTTTGAAACGTTCTCTAGAAACTTTCACTATTTTTTAACTGTTTTGTTGCAAAGAACATAAAAAAGACAGAAAACAGCGTTCGTGGTGTTTGATGTGTTCAAAGACAAATAAACTCAAACTAATCTCTGCAGCGCTGATCATCAAACACTGATGTCTCCTCTGAACAGGATCAGTTCTGGACGTCTGGTTTCTCTGCATCCTGAACAGAACCAGGCAGAAGCTTTGCTGTCTGACTGAATAAAGACGCTGCAGAGTTTCTACCTGCAGCAGAAACGTGAGTGTGATGAACATCTCTACACCATGTGGCCCAGAAGAAGTCTGACAGTTTGACAAAGTGCAAAGAAAATGAAACAGAAGAAGAAGAAGACGGTGAAGGTGGAGTTTGATGGAGGAGCAAGAAATCAGCTGCAGAGCGTTTAAAGAGAAAACGAATAAAGAAAAAGAAAAAGAAAAAGAAAGAGAAAGAGAAAGAGAAAAAGAAAGAGAAAGAGAAAGAGAAAAAGAAAGCATTTCTTCTGCAGCGTTAGTATGAAGCACGCTGGATTAATCTCTTGAATAAAATCATTTCTAAATGCTGTTTTCCAGAAGTTTCCACTATTTTAGCGGCACAACGGTTTGTTCAACTGTTACGCTGCAAAGAATAAAAACCAGCTGATGTGAACGAGCAGCGTCCAGATTCATCAACACGCTGCAAAGGGTTAAAACAGGAACTGTTCTCCTGCAGCGTTTAATAGAAAAACAAAAGATCCTGAATAAAATAAAAGTCATGTTTCACAGAATTGTTTTTTCACACGATGAAAGGATGTGATCAGCCAGACAGGAAGTGTGCAGCGTGTAGGAGCATAAAGGGTTAAACATGAATATTGATCCTGCAGCATTCATTATAAATGATCAACATGTTCATGATCACTGTGAACGATGTTTTCATACGTTTCAATGATTTTTGGCAGCAAAACATTTTGGTGAAGAGAAATGTTGTAGAGAACATTAAAAAAACTAAACATGGAGCTAGAAGGAGTTCAGAGCAACGGAGAAGCTGCCAAACGTTCAAACATGAACATTCCTCCTTCATTTAACACGAAGCACACGAGACTAACAAACGGAGGCTGAAGCTCGTTTAGCGGCTCTGAGATAGAAACAGAGCGAGTGGCAGCGTTTAAAGGTGAATAAATGAGCTGGACATGATCCTGGACGGACGTTCCTCTGTGCAGCACGACACCTCCAGAGTGAGATCAGAACATCAAACGTTGTCTTCTGGAACTTTTAATGATTTCTGAGGCCCAACAGTTGGACGCTGTACAGACCAATGAGACGACAGAAACAGACAGACAGGAGGACGGAGGAGCTGCTGTTTGTCCTTCTGGCCTGAATGTGACCAAACAGCACCGAGTTCTGACTCACGTCCCGGTCAGTTCTGTTTACGGTTCTGACGGTTCTGTTGTGAACAAGTCAGAACGTCAGCGTTTGTTTGTTGTCAACAGATGAGAATAAATAAGCGGCGGAGCGCCAACGAGTCAGAAGTCAGAACCGCTGAGTCCAGAGTCGGTTCCACGTCAGCGGATCAAATCAAACGTTCACCTGCTGAGTCTTTCTCGCGTTTTAAAGTCCGGCCGGCGCCTCTCAGCAGAACCCGACCCTCCTCCGGACCTCCCTCAGCACCGGTGCCGCCAGCTCGCGGGCCCGGCAGGCGCCACGAGCCAGGACCTCCTCCAGGTGGGCCGGGTCGGCCTGCAGCCGCTCCACCTCCTGCCTGATGGGCGCCAGCCTGCGGACCACCGCCTCCGTCACCAGCTGCTTGTAGGCGCCGGTGTCCAGCCCCGTCGCCTGGGAGACCGCCTCCTCCACGCTGATGCTCGCCACGGCGGCGTGGATGGCCACCAGGTTGGAGACGCCGGGCCGGGCCTCCGGGTCGAAGGTCACCTCGGAGGTGAAGTCGGTGACGGCGCGGCGGATCTTCAGGGCGACGGCGTCCGGAGGGTCGGTGATGAAGATGGTGGCCGACGCCTGCGGGTCGGACTTGGACATCTTGGCCGTCGGGTCGCGGAGAGACTTGACCTTCCGGGTGGAACCTGAGAGCAAAGAAGGAGGTCCAGTTAGTTAAAGCTTATCGATCCAGAACTTCTACAAACAGCAGCAGCACGTTGTAAAGAGAAGAAACAGAACGACGTCGTTTCTCATCCAAACAGCTGCCGACAGAACGAACCTTCAGCTAACGAGGAGGTCACTTCATTAAACCTCAACGAACGTCTGAAACATTAAAACACATCCGGTCACCGCTCGTCTGAACGGCTGCTCATGAAGAAACGTCCCACATGTGGTTCAGAGCTGACGGAGTTTTCTTCATGTTTTTCACACTTTTACTGAATAAAACCAGAACTTTGTGCACAGAAACGTAAATATAACGACTACTTAGACCTGAGACTAAAACACACGTAAATAAACTACGTTATGAGGACAGAATGAATGAAAACACTAAAGCAGAAAACATTTTAAAAAATGAAGCAATAAATGACAACAGATAGATTAAAATATGCAAATAAGGAGATGAATCAATAAAATGAGTTCTAACAATAGAAATAAATAAATGAGATGGATGGAAATGTGCCGTTAAAACATCAGAAGTCTCCAGATGAAGCTTCAAGTTTCTGTTGAAATAAAAAACCAATAAAAGCGTTTAAACATCAGAGCGTTCAGAAACAACAGCGACTGTGTTCTGACTGAATTTAATGTAAAACTCATAAAACGCAGACGAGCTTCAGCGGAGTGAGTTCAGGAAGAAACACAAACAGAAACGTCTTCAGCGAGTATTTATTGGGATTAACTCTGAATATTTATGATGAACGTCGTATAAAAGAGAGAAACTGAACGTCTGTGGCTGTGAAGGACTGATTATGTGGAAGCTCCTCGTTCACGTCCAGGTTTTAGACGTGAGCCTGATTTTATGAGTCAGAAGCAGAGAAATGCAACAAACTGACGCATTCAACAAACAGTCGACGTGTAATAACGCAGATTTTATTCTCTCAGGTGTCGTTTCTCATTGAAACAGCTGCTAGTAATAAAGAAACGTCCTGCATGTGTTTCAGAGAACGTTTAAGGAGCTTTCTTGAGGTTTTTTCTACTTTTAATGGACGAAAATTAAATTTTGTGCATAAAAACGTAAAGTTTCAGCTTTTATTGGACGTCAGACGCCAGCTGATCGTCTTTAGTTATTAACTGATTAAATATTTATGATTAACGTCGTATAAAGTAGAAAGAACATCTGCACATCTAAACAGCTGCTAACATCAAAGAAACGACTAAAATGTGCCAAGATGAAGCTTTCTTGAGGTTTTTCCTGCTTTTATGCACAAAACTGAACTTTTGTGCATAAAACTGTGAAGCAGCAGCGACGACTGGACGTCAGCCTAAACCGAGCGTCTCTTTGGTTTAACCAGGTGAGTGTTTATGAAGCTGCAGATGACTGATCACGCTGGCCGTTGCTGTTGAGCTTTAACTCTGTTCACGTGTGAGCCTGATGTCAGCAGCAGACGCCTCTCGGTGTGAAGCGATGGAGCGACTGCAGGATTTCCTCTGCCTCCTTATTTATGAACCTCATCCTTCCTCGGCGGCCCACATGTGTCCTGAGCGTCACCCCGGAGACGCTGCACATGAAGATGGAGGAAGGTGCTGCCAGCAGACGAGGAGCCGACGGAGGAGCGAGGCTGATTACAGACGAGTCGTCTCCAGGACAATCTGCTGCTCGCTTCGCTTTTCAGATGCAGGAAGAAGACGTTTCTTTAATCAAAGCTGCTCTGCACACATGACTGACTCCATCTTGTGCTTTTATGATGCTGATAATCAGGGAACTGGGAGGACCTCTGAACATGTCGGCCACGTGTGGCTGGAAGCCCAGCACCAGGAGGACTTTCAAAATAAAACGACGACGCGCCTCCAGGTCGGGTTTTGGCTCTTGAACGAAGCTTTGAAATCAGAATGGATGTGAACGAGGACTCTGGTGAATCTGAGTAGAAACAAGAGTGAGAGCAACAATCCGCAGCTTCAGACGTGGCAAAGAAAAGCTTCGGAGCAAATAATGTCCTCAGGAAGGGGCAGAAATACGTCGTTTACAACAGCGAGAGAGCTCTGAGGAGGACGAACGAGTGAGTCTGGTCCATCTGTGGCAGACAAACAGAACCCTGCTCTACCTTACCTACCTCTACCTCCACCACTTTGTTTATTTCTCTCCATCTATATTCATATATTTATGTATTTCTGGAGTGTTTCTGTCCTGTATTCTTCCTGTCTGGCTGTGGATCAGCTGCTGAACACATTTCAGTTTAATTGTGTTCGTAACAAATAAAAACGTGTTTTCAATCACAAAGTGTCATTTTGGTCATTTTTCTTGCTGCCGGGAGACAAAAACAGTGAAAGAAGCAGGAAAAGGTGATCGGTGGCGTAAATGTCTCCATCTCCTGTTAGGTGCATTTTTTAAATAAAAAAAGACTAAAACCCCCTCATGAAGGAAACTCTTCTACATTTTGCTTCCTGTTCTGTCCTGTGCGCTGTGTGTTCATGTTGCCTGAACTAAAACACAAGCCGACGTGTCCTTGAATTTATTTTACAAAGTTCACTTCGTCCACCGTCTTCACTCAAAACGACTAAAATATAAAAGAAGTAAAACCAGAGAAACAGACTCGCCGATTCGTTGGTGAAGTTCCCACCCGGACGTTTCCAGAAACTACAACGAGGTTCGACGACGGAACGCGACTGAAGTTCCTCCGAGTCCAAAAGTCTGAGAGGTTGTTCAGGAGAGACAAAGAAAACCAGGAGGAGAAGCAGAAAGCTGCTTTTAGGAACCACGAGGCTGCAGAGCAGCTCCTTCCACGTTCTTACAAAATAAAAGTTGTTTATTTGTAAAACTTTGAAGTGAACAAAGAAGTTTCTGTCGTTTCCAGTTGCTTTTTTTTTTTCTATCTTCCTTTTTAAACATCACTCTTGTGTCGTTGCAGCAGAACAGCAGCTCAAGCTCTGCATTTATCTTTAATAAAAATAAAAATAGATGAAAAGAGCAGTGAGAGGCAGGAGCTCACAGGTTTGATCTGTTTCTCACTCTGTCAGCTTCTCCATCACTTCCTCTCAGTCCGTCCACTTCTATTTGTTCTTTCATGCTGCTTTCTAACTTTCTGCCAGAATAAAGTCAGTTCTTCTCATTAACGGTCGAATTTTCAAACTAAATCTCAGCCAAACATATAATTTCACATTTCAAACAACACCAGATGTGGACACAGACTCAGCTCTTCTTCATGTGTTCTGAAATATCTGCAGGAGCCGTTTCATCATAAATACTTATAAATACTTATAAATACTTATAAATCTATTTACTTTTTAGTGCTTCAAAGCTCTTAAACGTGTTCAGAAGGTTTATTTCCAGAAGCAGTCGATTTATTCTGACTTTATCCACTGAAACACAACTAATGGCTAAAATCCATCGAGTTTATTCTTTATTCACTAAAACATACAATCAGCTGATTTAATTCTCTCAGGTGTCGTTTCTCATTTAAACAGCTGCTAATAATAAAGAAACGTCCTGCATGTGTGTGTCAGGGAACGTTTAAGGAGCTTTCTGGATGTTTTTCCTGCTTTACTGGATGAAAATAAGATTCTGTGCAAAAAGTTTCAGCGTTTGTTGGACGTCAGACGTCAGCTGATCGTCTTTAGTTTCTTCTGATTAACTGATTAAATATTTATGATTAACGTCGTATAAAGTAGAAAGAACATCTGCACATCTAAACAGCTGCTCATCATAAAGAAACGACTAAAACGTGCCGAGATGAAGCTTTTCCTGCTTTGACTGAATAAAAACTGAACTTTTGTTCCTAAACTTTAAACATAAACCTGCTGAAGCTGATCCTCTTTAGTTCATATTTATGGTGAACGTCGTGTAAAGCAGAGAAAGCCGACATCTGTCCTATTAAAGACTGATTATCACATGCAGGTTTAATTCTGTGAGGTTTGTTTTTGCTCTTTATTTTGTTCTTTATTCTATGTTGCACTGAAGGAGCTGCTCTTAATCTCATTGTACCTGTGTGTAGTGACAATAAAGGCATTCTGTTTTATTCTGTTCTATTTTATTCTGTTCTATTCTATTCTATTCTATTCTATTCTATTCTATTTTCTATTCTATTTTATTCTATTCAGACCAACCATCAGACACGAGGCGACATTAAACTGTTTCGGATGAACTGATCCAACATTTGTACCTAAAACCAAACATCTTGTTCCGTCCTGTGGATGTGACCCAGTCTGTTTTCTATGGATGGAGTGTGTGTGGTACCAGCCGGTTCCTTACTGAGCAGAGCGCGAGGTTCGGGGAACAGCTCTCCGAACCGGTGGTTGAAGATGCGAGCGAGATCCTGAGCGAGCTCCAGATGCTGGACCTGGTCCTCTCCGACGGGGACGTGAGTCGACCTGGAAAAAAAAAAAACCAAAGCAAAGATAAAACGGTCCAGAAGCGCGACGTGAAGCTTCTCCAGCACCAAGCGAGCACAAGCGGAGGAGACGAATCGGAGCCGCAGCTGGAGGATCCGTTTCAAGTGTCAGCCGGCGGGAACGCGCTCATCCATTTCCTCTTTAATAAAGTCCGGACAGCGCGGAGGCTCGCACTCGCTTTTTATGTCCACAGGAAATTAGACGGAGGTTTTATAATTGTTCCAAACAGTCACAGATGAAGAGATAAATTGTGGACTCCAAAGTGATGCTGGTGTCAGCTGCTCTGCTGCATCCAGCGATCAATACGCGCACTTCCAATAACGACATTAAACACTTTTTCTCACCATTCACAGATGTGGTTTGGTTCAGGGAACATCTGTCCGACTTCTGCTTCCACGCTCGGTTTACCGGAGGTCACAGGGATCCCAGTGAGACACTAACGGGAATAAAAACGGTGCGTTTGGCGGATAAAGGTCAGAACAGAACCGCTTTTCAGTCAAGAAGCAGCAACGAGGACACGTCGGAGGAACAACTCTGCTGCTACGAAGCACAACCCAAAGTATCTGATTAAAGGTGGAATTAAACAGTCTGCCTGCTCTTCTGACCCTGTGTGGGTGAACTGTACCTGGAAGTGGTCTTTAGTTGATTTGACTGTAATAAGTGTTCTGTGATGATGAACTGAGTAGTTTAAAGACAAACACAGAAAAGCAGCTTCTATCCTTCAGAGATGTGAACCATGACAGCACTCAGTGATCATCTCTGGACTCCATCCAGCAGCTCGACACTAATAAACTGACACCATATTTTCTGTTTAATTTAAAGGCCATTGACACATAAACGTGGGTTTAATTAAGATCATTCTCTGCAGGTTTAAATTAACTCTGAGGATAAAGTGAACCTGGAAACATCTGAACCTCAACCTCCTGTTCATTTACTGAAACTACCGTCATGTCCGTTAATTAAAGGTTAAAACATCTTTCTGTGTAAACACCTCATGTTCCAACGTGGACACCTGCAGCCTGGATATGAACACACCTGGTTTCCTGTTTACAGTCAGTGGGTGGAGCTTATATTCAGGTGCCTCTATAGTCTGGAAGCCACACAGCTGCAGCTTCAAGGTAACTTTTGCATGACTTGAAGCTTTTATTTTCCATATATAAGGCTTAATAAATGTCAGGTTTACATCCTGAACTATCAGCATCGTTAGTTAACATGAGGTCTGGTGTGTCTGTGGTTCATACAGCAGGAGGCTCTTCAACCAAAATGATGTTTTTAATGCTAAAAGAGAATCATTACTGTTGTCCATGGATTTTAAAATGTTCTGTTGAACATAAAAAATATTTTCTTGATTAAAACGTCACATGATGGTTAATTATCTGCATGAATTAAAGCCCTGCATGATAACCAATCAGACAGGTGGTCTAATAAACGAGTTAATTACTGTCCGTCCTAGTTTGTAGCTCTGGACCCTGAACACACCACTAGTTCTGTTTTGTATTTAGTGTGTTTAGTTTTCTAGTGTTTAAAACTTCTCATTAACTGTGTTTAACCTGCGAGTGACGAATAAACGAACCTGAATCTGATCCACGTGCAGCATTTACTAAACTATTAACCTCCTTTGCAGTTTAATTTCTTTATTTTAGAACTTCTGGGTTAAAAGGATCTTTTTGCTTTAATATAAACCTGGAGGACGATCAGAGTCAAATGGTTCCACTTTTAACCATTTTGTGCCGATAACAGCAGTTTCTTGTCGTTAATATTCCGATTCGTTAAACAAGATGTAATTTAAAGTTTAACAGAAGTCACGCTCACACCAGATGTGTTGTTTCTACGTTACACCAAACTGCTGCACATCACACTTTTCTTCTCTATTTATTTTATTTTCTTGCAGGTTTTCTTTAATCCTGTCGTCTGTGCAGTGACATTAACTCCATCCTGCTCAGCTTCAGCACAGATCTCACTCAGCTGCATGTCAACCAGGCGTCTCTCTCTGCTCTGGACGAGCTCGTCTGATTTTAACGAAGGCCGTCGACGTTTCAGGTGAAGCAGGAAACGGAGCGGCTTCTCCTCAGCTCGCGTTACCGGCACCAGAAGTCATAAAGAACAGAACTCACGAGGCCGGAGACGACAATTACAAGAAACGTCAGCACTAAAACCCGGCTCTTTTATACCCGGACAGAGTTTATATCATCATTTATGAGCCGGAGCAAATCTGGCTTTTAGAGAAGCGACGTCTCCGCCGAGGAGCCTCTCCACCAGATTAAACGCAGGCCGGCAGCTTTGTGAGGATAAATCTGCTCTGGAGCACAGCACGGACGCACATGTCTGCATGAGATGAGCCTCCAGCCGGCCTGGATGAGCTGCATGCAGCAGCAGCCACATCTCAGAAGATCTGGCTCCAAGAACAACACGCTTTTAACCGATTAGAAGGACACTAAATGTAAATCAGCAGCTTAGAAACCCTGCAAATGACGGTGTTCTCACGGTGAAGGTCTCACTTGTAGAGCAGGATGTCTGCAGCCTGCAGGACGGGGTAGGTGTAGAGGCCCACGCTGCCTTCGCTCTTCTGCTTGCTCTTCATCTGCAGGAGGAGAAACACGGAGGGACGGTTAACAAAACACCACTCTGGTCCCGTTTTCACTTTCACGACTCATCGGCTGTCAGACAAACGGGTTTCTGGACGGATTGGTTTTCAGACCGACTGAGGCGGAAAAACTAGAATCTCACCACATCAGAACTTAAAAACAACACAACAGGAACGTCGGGTGAATCAGGAGGAGTCTGCAGCCGCTGAACCGAAGTGAAGCCGTTGCAGGAATTAAATTGAAATAATCACCAGAAAGTGAGAAACGAGTCGGAGCGCCGACGGCTTATAAAATGAATACATTTCCTTTACAGCAGCAGCCACATGTGGCGGGAAAGGTTTTACCAGAGAGACGAACACGACTTCTTTTGATTCGACAGCATCCAGTTAAACGGCGTTCGGCGCTGACACAGCGACAATATGTGCAATATGGACGCAGGAATCCAGGGTGTGTGTTTGAATGTGTGTGTTTGAATGTGTGTGATTTATCAGCGCAGACAGTTTGTTTGAGCTGCAGCCGCGATCAAAGCAGAACATCATGAAGCTGCTCTCATGTTCATCATGGTTCTGGTTTTAAGTCTGTACATCCAACAGAGAAGGAATTATTAAATATATATTGGTTATTAGTGAATAACTAAACACAGTTTTATCTTATAGAAAATATATGAACATACAACAAGACGTCAAACCGTTTGTTTCTCTGTCTGACATTAAATCACTAAACTCTTCCTGTTTCAGATCAGTCAGGATCACCAACATTAGTTCTATCTGCTAAACGCCAGAATAATGAGACAGAGAACGTTTTACTACGTTCTTTAAAGTCAGAAGTTTACATCCACTAAGATGCCTTCAGACTATCAGGTAAAGCCCAGATTATGATGTCATGGCTTTGGAAGCTTCTGATTGGTTAACTGGAGGCACACCTGTGGATGTATTTTACGGCACACCTCCAACACGCTGCTGCCTCTGGTGGTCACCCTGAGAACACCATCCCAGCTGTGAAGCACGGAGGTGGCAGCACCATGAGGACAGGACATGACGTGATATGACGTCAAAATAAAATATAGAAAGTAAAAAAAATAATGACAACAAAGGAGGCGACTCCAGACACACAGACGGTCATTAATCAGGAGGTTATAGATCACAGCTGATAACAAAGACCTCAGAAGCAGGTCTACAGAGGCTCACCTTCCACTGCGGGAGGTGGCGAAGTCGAGGCATGCTGGTGAGACAGCCGAGGATCCAGGAGAGCTCCGCGTGTTCAGACACCTGCAGGTCCAAAACAAACCTTTATTAGTGGACAGCCACGTCTACACAGAACCCACCTCCTCTGTATGCACAGAACCACAAGATAACACCAACGGTCCAGTCGGTCCCAGCACAAGGACAAAGACAAAATAATGTTAAATATGGGAGAAGATTTTCAAAATAAAACAACCACACAACACTCCATTACTACTGACTACACCGTACACTCAGGTTTTTATTTTCTTGCACATTCGACATATTTTAAGCTTGTAGTTTTCTACCTATGTTGATATTTTCAGGACATATTTTTCTACTTAAGTTAATCCTATAATCTTCTAAAATTTCCAACATTTCCAAACTGTAACGTCACCAATAATGTATTTCTGATTCTGGACCAAAAATTAAACATCTGAGTACGAAAAAAGAGCAAGAGGAATAAAAGAGAAGAGAAGGTAAAACCATAAACACAAGGTTAGAAGTAATGATAATATAAGTAATAGTGAAAAAATAAAATAAATAAAGGGGAAAAGAGAGTAAAATGAGCAAATAAAAAAAAAGAGTGTAAAACCTTAAGCACAAGGCTGGAAGTAATAATAATATTAGTAATATCAAATAATTAAAATAAATCTGTAAATAAATAAGGAGGAAAATACAAATAAATAAAAAAAGAAGGCAAAATGATAAATACAAGGCTATTAATAATAATAATTGTAATAGTAAAATAAATAAAAGAAAAAATGTGAAAAAGGACAAAAGAGAACAAATGAATAAATAAAATATGATTTTAAAAATAAACTAGAGGATGAAGATAGACGACATCACATCAAAGTGAGCCAATAAAAACAGGGTTTAAAATCAGACACAGTGAGGAAGAGCTCCTCCTCTTCATCAGCATGTTGCTCATCTGTCCAGGATGCTTCAAGACTCCAGGACCGGTTCTGTTCTGTCTATCTGCATATCTGCTTTGTTGACAACAAATCCTGATCCAGTGGTTCTCTACATGAGAACATGTTGATGAGGAACGTTTCCTGTCTCCATCGTGTGCATCGACAAACATAAACACAAACTTCAGTCCAGTTAAAAAGAAAGAAGCTTGTAGCCTCAGAAAAGCTCCGGAGAGACGAGAGAAGGAATGAGCCGAGCAGGCGGGTTAAACGAGCCCAGATGAACGGATGAAGGAGGAGCAGGGTAACTCCCTACCGCCTCCAAGTGGAGGAGGAGCAGACTGCTGCTCAGACAGGTGCACTCGCTCACACCTGGACTCACGGCAGGGGGGACGAGTTTAGACCCAGAAACGACAGAGTTCCTGCTCGACGGCGGTTCTTTTCTGTTTCATCCTGAAGAAATGTGAGAAGTTTCCCAAGAATCCTTCATTTACTTTAAAATGAGTTCCAGTAAAGAAAAGTCTGGATTCAGGTCCAGCTGAGGCCAGAAGGTGTTCGTTGGAGTTCCTGCTGCAGACAAACATCCAACAAACATTCAATCTGCTTCTTATGTTACTTAAAGAATCGTGGAAACGAGCTGCAGCTGCATCAGGCTGCAGGTTGTGTAGACGCACACGTTAAACAGGATTATTATTATTGGAGGTATTTCTACTGCGACTCTGTGACTCGTGATCCTTCATCACTTTGCTGCAGCGCTCCATCAGACGTTCAGGTCAAAGCCCTGCAGGTGGAACCACCTTCAGGATTCTGATTCCTCGCTTTAACTTCAATGTGAAACGACACGAAGGAGATCCAGAACGACTCTGAAAAGACAGAAACGAGGCACAAAACAACACAAACGACAAACAGAAACAAGAAACAAAAGAAAAACGAGACACAAAACAATAAAACTGAGACGCAACACGACACAACAAACATCAAAAACAGGGACACAAAACATTGCTAACCAGACACAAAACAGGACAAACACACAAACTGACATAAAACGACAAACAGCAGAAATGAGAGCAGACTCCTCACATCACCTTTAAATCTGCTCTCAGGTGGTGAAGCTGCTCTGGAGTTTAACGCCTGAACAAATGAACACGTGTTGCTGTGAATGAACTCCAACACGCCGGCGCTGACGGAGGCCGTCTTCAACGTGGACTAAAACCAAACACAGTTACTTCGGCTTCATCGTCGTCTTCCTGCTGCAGCTACAGAAGCCTCCTGGGCAGCCTGACGTCGGCAGCAGCTGCATCCAGAGCCAACATGGAGGCCGGTCGGGTCGTACGCTGCAGACAGATGGGACAGATGTGGACGACGCAGCGGGACGCATGGATGCGGTTTGAAGCCCAATTAAACGGATCTTTAAAGGCCTCCATTCATGCTGCACAGCAGGAGCTCACCGCAACAAGAGACGTGCTGATGTTCCGGATCATATCAGCGTCGCAGGAACAGGAAGTCATCAGGCTGTTCAGCTACAGCGAATACCGCAGTGAGGCTCAGAGGACGGAGCGGAGCCGATGAATCAGCAGAACCACGGAGCCTCGGAGGCCGGCTCGCCGAAAGACGAGAAGAAATGTGACGTAGGAGACGCAGACAGGACACAAAACGAGTCACAAAATGACAAAAATGAGACACAAACCCACTAAAACGACATAAAACCACATCAACAAGACACACAACGAGACAAATGAGGCCCAGAATGACACAAAACGACCAAAACGAGACTCAAACCGACGAGAACGACAGACAGCAGACGCTGAACCTCGTCACCGGTTCAGCTTCACGATGAACACGTCTGTAGAACTCGTGTATCAGGAGGAAGCTGATGAATCAGCAGATCTTCGGACCCCCGGCGGTCGGCCCGTCACCGGCTCGGCTCGGCCCGTCAGCGAGGCCGAGTGTTTTCTTTGGGCGGCCGTCGTGTTTGCACACGTGGAGCAGACGTGTCGGGTCGACTCGCTGCCCAGCTATGTGGCATGAAGCTAAACGGGAATAAAAATAGGACGCAGGAACACAGCCGGACCGAACCGCCGGCTATCTGGATATTAACTCGTGAACCCGGAGCAGGAAAAGAAAACACAGGACCCGAGACCCCAGCAGCTGTTCTGACTCGGCCCGGACTCGTGTGCTGCTGCTGCTTCATGCAGGTTGTGTTTGAACAGGTCCAGTGAATCTGCAGATAAGGATCAGCAGCGATCAAATAAACGTGTGGGTCGGCCCGTCGCAGGTAAACAAACTTTAAACTCTCCTCGCCGAAGTGGCAGCGAGAGGAAACAACACACACTCTGTACGTCCAGGAACAGATGGACCAGATAAGCTCACCATGAATAATGTGCGACATGATCGGAGGGCAGCAAAACACAAACTCTGCTTTTCTTCCTGTTTGTCTTTCCACCGATTAATACGAGTTCATGTCAAACACACACAAGAAGCACCTTAAGAGTCTTTAAAAGTGAGAACATTTCTACTACCACTACTTACCGGCCCACAAAATCATCATTCAGAGAAGAACCAAAAGACTTCTCAGCACGATACACAACAAACAAGTCACAAAGAGTCACAGGACAAGATAAAAACACCACAAACCAAACACTAAGCGACTAAGACGAGACACAACATGACACAAAACGAAACAAAACGAAACACAAATGAGACACAAAATGACTAAAACGAAACACAAATGAGACACAAAATGAGACACAAAATGACTATGAAACTAAAAAAAAGACTAAAACGACTAAAGAAAAATACTAAAATGAGACATGGAACAACAAGACAAAAAAAACCATCAAAAATGAGGAAAAAAAGGACTGAAACGAGACACAAAACCTCTGAAACGAGACACAAAACCTCTGAAAGGAGACACAGAATGAAAACGGTCTTTCTTCCGTTAAGCTCCGCCCACCTGAGACTGCTGGAAGACGACGGCCTTCTTGGGGTTGATGCCACAGGCCAGCAGCGTGGCCGCCATGTCCAGGATGTTGGTCCGGAGCAGCTTCGGGTCCTGAGGCTGCGTGATGGAGTGCAGGTCCACGATGCTGTACAGGACCGACGGGTACTGGTTCTGCAGGGCCACCCAGTTCTCCAGGGCGCCCAGGTAGTTGCCCAGGTGGGGGACTCCGGTCGGCTGGATCCCTGAGAAGACACGACTGGTGACCGGAGGCTCCTGGAAGAGACAGACAGAGATGTTTGGGTCGGCATAGTCGGGGTCGACGGGTCTGGGTTCTGGGGTCGGTGTCGGTTATTAGTGACCAAGAAAGACCAATAATGGAACTGATGTACATTAATTATTCAACTACAAACCAAAAACCTGGACCAGTATTAGGTCCATGTTCACGTTGTACCGTTCTGTACTGTCCTAATACTCTATTTTATTGTAAATACCAACAACTGTTGCGTCTTTTTTGTAATTATCAGCATTTTTGGCGCCTTTTTTCCATTTGTTCTGTCCGTCCTGTTGCTGTCCAGAGGGTGTGACCGAGCCGTCCATCCATCTGTCTAATGGACCAGGTGCTGAAGGTGAAAAGGGGAGAAAGAAGCCATTCGAGTGTCAGTGCTGCTCTGTTGGCAGTCACGCCCGTATTAGCGAGATGCTAACTCCGTGGCTAACACCTCTGTTCTCTCCTGGACACATCCAGGGCAAAGAATGCATCACCTCGGCGGCCAACACTCTCACTTCACATCCGTCCAGGCCTCCGCGGAAACGCATCAAATATAGCAGCGTGCAGCCAGAATAAAACCAGGACTTTGTTTAGCAGAGCCGTGTTTCCAGACCGCCTCATTTCTTCTGGCTCAGCAGAACCTCGACCGGTGCTCGTGGCGCCGCACGATACGATCGGACGGCGAACAGAGCGGCACCTGTCATGAGACGTGAAACCGCGACGGCATCCAGGAAACCTCCTCCTCGCCGAAGACGTTTCACGCTAGATTAAGGCTTCGACGGAGCAGAAAGACAAAAAACGGGAACTCTGTGTTTTCGTTGGGCTGCGAGGAAGACCGAGTGTTGGGCGCCTCGGTGATGAACGCTGCAGGATTCGGTTCCCGGCAGCGGCGGCTCGGACAGATGTTCAGAGTCGGAGGCGTGACGGCGACAAGGGATGGCGTCGTTGTCGGGATGGAGAGACGACACGAGTTGGAGATAAAAACGAACATCAGAGCTTCTACAAAGTCCACCGTGAGAGGAGAGCAAGAGTCTGACAAACACAACAGCTGGTCGCAAAACCCAGAGAACAACGTGTGAACACGGCCAAGTTCTACCTGCAGGTTCTGCTTCACTGAAATACTGTTCAAACTGTAAAACCTGTTGGTTCTGTGGAGCCCAAAACAAAATGACGGATGGGAGCAGGCTGGTGCTGTTTCATTAGTCCTGCTGGGACGTTTGGCAGAAACACGTTTAACTTCGACATGAAGGAGTTTGTTTATAGCAAACGCTCTGCAAACACAGATTTTCTAATGTGAAGACGTAACTGATAGAGTTAAGAAGTATTTTAAAATATGAAGGCGTTACAGTCTGAGGATACATTATAGTGTTGAGATGTATTTTACTGCATTAAGACGTTTCTGGTAGAGCTCAGAGGTATTTTATAATATTTAGACATGTTTTAAAGTGTCAAGACATAATTTCTAGTGTTGACATAATTTATTGTGTGAAGACTTTTCTTATAGAGTTAAGAAGTATTTTACAGGTATTTTATAGCTATATAAATATAAATGTGTATTTTATAGTCTTAGGATGAACATTGTAGCTTCAAGACGTATTTCATGGAGCTAACATGTATGTATAGTGGTACACGTATGTTCTGTGGGTCCAAACACCAGCAGCTCTGATGCTAATCCAGCAGCGACGTGACCACCAGGCCCGAGCCCTACATGGTTGAGTCTATAGCGGCCTCAGACAGGGAAGGCGTGGAGGACTTCTAGAAACCTTCCCTGAGGTCTCGGCGTTATCGGCTCAGATCTCCGTGACGATCCCACGCCCCCCAGCTGCTCCTCCAGGCTATCACAGCCAATCAGAGGAGCCGAAGCTCTCGGGGTTCCTCTCTGACAAACCGGCTTCCTGACAGGCGTCGAGCCGCATCGCCCTCCATCCGACCGAGGCTCGCCGTCTGGGGTCGGATACGTTCCGCCCTGAGGGACGGAGCGGCAGCAGCTCCCAGGCCCGACCGGGCCCGACCAGGCCCGGCCGGCCTCCGCGCCGCCCTCCGAGGCAGGAAGGAACTGGGCGCTTATGTCGTTACCCACCAGGGTAATTGCACTGGAGCTCCATTGATGCTGAGGGGCTCTTAAGAGGTGTCAGGGTCGATTTGGGCCCCGAGTCTGGCTCATGTGTGTTCTCACCTCCAGCCGACACGCCAAACCCGTGTTCCCCTCCCGCCCCGGGCCTCGGGGGAGGCCATTAGCCATGCAGACATGCTAATGGGGTCATTTGAGCCAATCGGGTGTCAAATGAGAGTCACGGCCGACTAGAGAGCAGCAGATCAGAGTGACTGGAGGAGGAACGAGTGTGAAGACACGAGGACGAAGGAAAGCAGCAGGATGGCAGCGGTACAGGAGCTGCTGGTCTCTGGCTGTCTGACGGCGTTCATCTGGTTCACAGTCTAGTTTATGTTGTTTCATCGAGTCGGTTTTGTCTCATGTTTGATGCTTTGACTCGTTCTCATCAGGTTACGTCTCGTTTCTTCTAAAGTGTCTGGTTTGTGTCGCTTTGTGTCTCGTTCTTGTTGTTTGACGCCTCTTCAGGTCAGTTCTGTCTCCTTTTTGATGTTTTGAGCCTTTTCTTTTTCTTCATTGTCTTGTTTTTCTTCATTTTGTTTCTTGTTTTTGTCATGTCTCGTCTCACTTTATCTTTTGTGTCTCGTTTTGTCGTGTTTTTTTGGTCTCATTTGTCTGGTTTGTGTCGTTTTGTGTCTCGTTCTTGTTGTTTCACGGCGCTTCAGGTCAGTTTATTGACTTGTTTTTGATGATTTATGTCTGTGATTCGTGTCTTCTTTTGCTTTGCGTCTCATTTACGTTGTTCTGGGTCTCGTTATTGTCTTTGGATTCTCATTTGTGTCGTTTTGTGTCTCCTTTTTGCAGCCTTGTGTCTCGTTTCTGTTGTGTTCTTTCTCAGTTTTCTCATCTTTTGTGCCTTTTTTGTTTTATTTTTGGTCTCATTTTTGTCATTTTGCGTCTCATTTATGTTGTTTTATGTTTGTTCAGGTCAGTTTTGTCGTCTTTCTACTGTTTTGTTTCTGGTTTTCATCCTGTTGTCTCATTTTTTCTTGTTTTTCATTTTGTGTCTCCGTTAATCGTTTTGTGTCTGGCTTCTGTCCTTTTGTTCCTCATGGAAGTTGTTTCACGCCTCTTTGGGTCGGTTTTGTCTCCTTTTTGTCGGTTTGTGACCCGTTTTAGACAATTTATGTCTCGGTCTTCTTTTGCACTTCATTTACGTCGTCTGTCCGTCGTTGCTTTGTGTCTCGTAGTTAACTTCTGAACGTCATTTTTGTTGTTCAGCGTCTAATTTTTGTCTTTTTCTGTCTAATTTATGTTGTTTCAGGTGTTTGACGTCGTCTTTTCTTTTCGTCTTTTTGCCGTTTTGTTTCTCATTTGTCTAGTTTTTTTGTCCTCTCTGTCTCGCCGTCTCGGTTTTATCGCTCTGCGTCTCAGGTTCCCTCAGCGCCTCGTGTTTCCGTGTTATCGCGCCGCCTCACCAGACGCCTCACCAGACGCCTCGATGTTTCTGTTGGTCGGAGGAAAGGTTCTTTAAACCCTGTAGCTGCTGGAGGAGAAAGTCGGTTAAACAGGGAAGTAAATCAGCGTCTGCACGATGACAGAGCAGACAGCAAATGTTGTAAAGCAATTAATGTTTGTAATGAATACGGCGCTGCAAAGCCAACAGTAATAAAGTCGTATCATCTGGCATAGTTCAGCTCTGAGCTATATTAAACCTGCGCCACTTCATTCGTTTACTGGTGAAATACTTGCAGAGTTCTTGACTTCACGTCTTGGAGGTGAACCGACACCTTGTGGCTTGTTAAAAGCTCCAGTCAGATAAATCAAATGCGAGCTGCTGGAGCGTTGGAGCCACAGTTAAACGCCTTCATAAAGGCCTGAAGGCAACATAAAACCAGAGCTAACACACAGAAAGACTTGTTTAATGCTTTTTAATTTAACTTTAACCAACTGGTCACTGAGTGGAGGCTAGTTCAACACATAAGACAGGAACCTCCCTTTACGGTAGATCTGGGTCATAAAACCAGAAGGTGCTCCACACAACGTTTGCTAGCTTCTCTTAGATGCAAGTTCAGATGCATAAACGAGCACCAGGCTGCTTCCTCCAATCACACTGTCAGTTAGTCGCACCTCCGTCCTGGTCACCAGTGAAACACCTCACTGGCTGAACATTAGCGTATCGACAGACTCCACGTTTACCGATGTTCCCTGAACGCCTCATAGAACAGGTAGATGCTGCTGGGCGGCTGTGGTTTGCTCAGACAGGTGTGTGAGCACAAGTCAGTTTGAAAAGTGTTCTAACATCAGATCTGTCTGAGACGAAACCAAGCAACTTCATCCACAGGCGCTTTTATAAGACGTAGAGACCTCAGTGGTTAGAAGATAAAATCATGAATAAACACTGAATTCTGCAGCCCTACTCCTGCGTTGGTATGCTCCTGTCTGCCCTCTGGTCATCAGGTGAGTCTGAGTCGGACCTCTGACTCTGTTGGTTCAGGATCATCAGACAGGAAGTAAGAAAAGGTAAACGTTCCACCGCCTCACGCTGCAGCTGCCTGTGGTGGTTAAAGCGACACCAAACCAGCCAAATGATCGGCGTCCACTCACACCAATGTCACCACAGGAAAGACAAAAGGTTGCACATGTGACCACTTTGGTTGCAGCTGTTTGGGAAACTGTGGACGGAAACGAAGCACCAATCACCGAGCACGGACGTTAGCGGGTCTGATGGGGGGACTTTAAAGATAAAGTTGAACCACTCATCTATCTTCTAAATCTAATGAACGCTGAGCAGAACTGAACATTTACTTAATCTTCCATTTGACCTTCTGGTTTGTGTTTTGTTTTGTCATCCTGTGTCTCAGTCATATTGTTTTATGTGTCCTGTTGCTGTTTTGTGTAAAGTTTTATCTTTTGTGTCTCAAGTTTATCGTTTGGTTTCTTCTGTTGTGCCTC